ATTATAAAAGATAGGATTTATAGACACTGAGAGAGGCAAAAATTGATTAGGAATAGTCAGCATGGTTTTGTGTGAGGAAAATCATGTCTCACAAACTTGATTGAGTTTTTTGAGGAAGTTACCAAAAAGATTGATGATGGCAGTGCAGTAGACATTGTTTAGTTGGATTTTAGTAAAACCTTTGACAAGGTTGCACATAGTAGACTAATTAGTAAAGTTGGGTCACATGGGATTCAGAGTGAGCTTGTCAATTGGATTCATAATTGGCTTAATGGCAGGAGTCAGATAGTGGTAGTAGGGGGTTGCTTTTCTGACTGGAGGCCTGTGATTAGCGGTGTTCCACAGGGATCGGTTTTGGGTCCTCTTTTGTTTGTCATTAATGTTAATGATTTGGATGAGAATATAGTGTCATGGTTAGTAAGTTTGTGGACCACACCAAAATTGGTGGCATAGTAGACATTGAAGAAGGTTTTCTAACATTACAAAGGGATCTTGATCAAATTGGTCAATGGGTTCAAAAATAGCAGTTGGAGTTCAATTTGGATAAATGCGAGATATTGCATTTTGGTACAACAAACAAGGGTAGAGCTTATATAGTTAATTGTAGAGCCTTAGGTAGTATTGTACAACAGAGGAACCTAGGGGTGCAGGTACATGATTCTTTGAAGTTTGCATCACAAATAGACTAGGTGGTTAAAAAGGTGTTTGGCACATTTGCCTTCATTGTTCAGTCCTTTAAGTTTAGGAGTTGGGAAGCCATGTTGAGGTTGTACAGGACATTAGTGAAGCCTCTTCTGGAATACTGTGTCCAATTCTGGTGGCCCAGTTATAAGATGGATATTAGCAAGCTGGAGAAGGTTCAGAAGAGATTTACCAGGATGTTGCCAGTAATGGAAGGTTTCACTTATAAAGAAAGGCTGGATAGGCTGGGACTTTTTTTACTGGAGCATAGGAGGTTGAGAGATGACTTTGTAGAATTTATAAAATCATGAGGGGTATAGATTGAGTTAATGGTAGGTGTTGAGGGGTATAGACTGAGTTAATGGTAGGTATCTTTTCCCTAGGATGGGGGATTTTAAAACCAGGACACATTTTGAAGGTGAGAGGAAACAGATTTAAAAGAGACATGAGAGGCAAATTTTTTAGACAGAGTGTGATTTGCGTGTGGAACGAACTTCCTGAGGAAGTTGTGGATGCGGATACAATTACAACATGTAAAAGTCATTTGGATAGCTGCATGAATAGGAAAGATTGAGGTTGGTTGGCTCGCCGAGCTGGTTTGTTGTTCCGCAGATGTTTCGTTACGTGCTGGGTAAGATCCTCAGTGCAGCCTCTGATGAAGCGTCGGTGTGTTTTCCTGCCTGGTTTTTAAACTCTGGGGTCGTTGCGATGGATTACCTCACTTCAGGGTTTCCTCCATAGTGGAATGTATATGGGGTCAGTTCAATGTGTTTATTAATAGCATGCTTCGTGGAGGGCCATGCTTCCAGGAATTCTCGTGCTTGTCTCTGCCTAGCCTGTCCCAGCATCTTGGTGTTGTCCCATCGAAGGAAACCTGGAAGTAAGGCAATCCATCGCAACGGACCCCAGAGTTTAAAAGCTAGGTGGGAAAACACACCGACGCTTCATCAGAGGTTGCACTGAGGATGTTACCAAGCACGGTAATGAAACGTCTGCGGAACAACAAACCAGCTCGGCGAGCCAACCAACCTCAACACCCACAACCCGAGCTACAGATCTACTCCAAAACCTTATAGGAAAGATTTGGAGGGATATGGGCCATAAGCAGGCAGGCAGGAGTGGTTTATTTTCAGATTATGTTTGGCATGGACTGGTTGGACCAAAGGGTCTGTTTCCATGCTGTATGACACTGTGACTCTGACTCTAAAGACATTTTAAACTGCCGATTCCTGATCTTATTTTTGTGTTTGATGCTCTCTCCTTTGTAATCTTTACACCTGTGTTTTTATGTGTATTTTTGATGTTACACTACTTTTTTTAGTGTGTTAAGTTGTAAAAAAGAAAATCCCCTTTCAAGAAAACCTTGTATTTGGCTCTTTGATTTTGACTAGCATTATCTTTGTTAAGTGAGAAAGAGCAGCATGCTAAAAAAAATTGTTGCATCTCCAAAGGTTAAAAACAGGGGAACTGATTCATCCCTCTTCACCAAACCTGGGATTTGGAGTTCGAGATAGTTACTTACAGGCAAACGAAAGAATTAGATTGGAAGAAGTTCAATTGTTACTTCATAAGTTCATTTAAATGCAAATGGAGACTGTTGTTGTGTTTGTAATATTCAAATGTTGACCTTTGATGTTAATCCTATCATAGAGCAGAATGAGACAACTTAGATAAAATTAAAGGCACTATTATTGGAAGAATTAAACAGGATGGCTAGTCATTTAGGTAGGGAGTTTCACCCAAAAACCAGGGAAACAGAAATTGAAAAACGGCTGTAAAAATGTCTTGAGGTAAAAATTAATTAAACTGGAGTTACAAAAGTTAGAATTAAAGCATAAAATGTATAACCAAGCTTCATAATATATTATTATTTGGCAGCTAGTATTCCTGAGTTCCTCTCTCTCTCTCTTCTGTTGTCTTATTTCTCGTTACTTCTGAGATGTTACTTTCATCCTCTATAGTGAAGGCTGGTGCAAAATAGTTGTGTAAGTGATCTGTCGCATCCTTCTTCTAATTCCCTCGATGCACTTCCTATGGGATCAATGCTCACTTTGTTAAAGCTTTTTTTAAAAATTATGGAAAATCTTACTATGTGTTTTTATGTTTCTGGCTAGCTTTCTCTTGTATTGTGAAAAAAGAATACGTTTCTCTTTAAGAGAAAACAAGGTATAGAGCTGGATGAACACAGCAGGCCAAGCAGCATCAGAGGAGCAGGAAGGCTGACGTTTCAGGTCTAAACCCTTCTTCAGAAATTGGGGAGGGGAAGGGGATTCTGAAATAAATAAGGAGAGAGGGAGAGGCGGATAGAAGATGGATAAAGGAGAAGATAGGTGGAGAGGAGACAGACAGGTCAAAAAGAGGCGGGGTTGGAGCCAGCAAAGGTGAGTGTAGGGATGAGATAGGTCGGTCCAGGGAGGATGGACAGGTCAAGGAGGCGGGATGAGGCTAGTAGGGAGGAGATGGGGGTGGGGCTTGAGGTGGGAGGAGTGGATAGGTGGGAGGACAGGTTAGGGAGGCAGGTACAAGCTGGGCTGGTTTTGGGATGCAGTCGGGGGTCGGGAGATTTTGAAGCTTGCGAAGTCCACATTGCTACCATTGGGCTGCAGGGTTCCCAAGCGGAATACGAGTTGCTGTTCCTGCAACCTTCGGGTAGCATCGTTGTGGCACTGCAGGAGGCCCAGGATGGACATGTCGTTCAAGGAGTGGGAGGGGGAGATGAAATGGTTCGTGACTGGGAGGTGCAGTTGTTTGTTGCGAACCGATCGTAGGTGTTCTGCAAAGCGGTCCCCAGCCCTCCGTTCGGTTTCCCTGATGGAGAGGAGGCCACAACAGGAACAGTGGATACAGTATACCACATTAGCAGATGTGCAGGTGAACATCTGTTTGATGTGGAATGTCTTCTTAGTGCCTGGGATGGGGGTGAGGGGTGAGGGGTGAGATGTAGGGGCAGGTGTAGCACGTCCTGCGGTTGCGTGGAAAAGTGCCGGGGGTGGTGGGGCTGGTGGGGAGTCACAGAGAGAGTGGTCCCTCTGGAAAGCAGATAAGGGTGGGGTGGGAAAAAATGTCTTTGATAGTGGGGTCGGATTGCAGATGGTGGAAGTGTCGGAGGATGATGCGTTGGATCTGGAGGTTGGTGGGGTGGTACGTGAGGACGAGGGGGATTCTGTTTTTGTTGTTATGGTGGGGAGGGGGTATGAGGGATGAGTTGCGGGAAACGCGAGCGATGCAGTCGAGGGTGTTTTCGACCACTGTGGAGGGGAAGTTGCGGTCCTTGAAAAATGAGGACGTCTGTGAGTGGAATGCCTCATGTTGGGAGCAGATGCGGCGGAGGCGAAGGAATTAGGAATAGGGGATGGCCTTTTTTGCAGGAAGGTGGGTGAGAGGAGGTGTACTCTAGATACTGTTTCTCTTTAGTCATTTTTTGTACTTCTTTATATTCTAAACAATCTTCTGACCTTCCACCTGTCTTTGCACAATTACATGATTTTTATTTAAGTTTGATAATACCTTTAATCATTATAATTAATCACAGACCGTGGGTCGAACCCTTGGAGTTTTGCTTTCTCTTTGGAAATGAGAAAGCTGTGTGTGCTGTGTATTCCAAAATATCCCCTTAAATACCTACCTGCATCTCTATTGACACATCCCAGTGCCCAGTTCACTTTAGCTATGCAATTAAAATGACAGCTATTCATTTCAATGAACGAAACTATTCAATGTCATCTTTCTCTTATATTTTAGTACAGGATGATCCAAGACTAAATGAACTGAGGAAGAGTAAGTCCTACCTCGTAGTCTGCTCCTAATGATGTGCTATTCTTAAACAAGTGATCATGGATTCAGGTTCACAATTGCTGATGGTTGAAACTGTCAACCTTAATTGAGATCGAGTTTATAAGTTCATAACCAATCTGTTTAGTGAAGCATAATAAAATACTGAAATGCTCTGCAAGGTAAAACCTCCCTAACTACTTCTGTAGCACATAGATTGACATTATAGAGAGGGACACAGCTGATCAGAGTCACATGAGAATGGAGATCCTCTGGGAAAATTGGATTATAGAAAAGTAACAAATGTTTTGATTTCAAGAAAGTACAGCTTGCACTTAAACAGCACCTCAGAGCATTAGGATGTGTAAAAGTGCTTTATGGCCAATTAAGTACTTTTGAAGTATAGTAATGTAGGATTAGTCAAATATTCATGTATGACCCAAACAGATGTCTTCATTACTGTCATCAAATGCAAGGCAAAATATACATTTATACAATTGGAGAGTGTTTACTGAAGAATGTATATTTTTGTTCATTCTATTTTCCAGATGTATATTCAAACCACTACTCTGACTATTTCCATAAATCTGAGTGCTTCTGTGTCGCTTGGCATGCTGTATATGCCCAAGGTTTATGTCATCCTGTTCCACCCAGAACAGAATGTGCAGAGACGCAAGCGCAGCCTAAAAGCTGTAGTGACAGCGGCCACAATGTCCAACAAGTTTACCCAGAAAGGAAATCTCCGTCCCAATGGAGAAGCCAAAACTGAACTATGTGAAAGTCTTGAAACCCAAGGTAAAACATTTTTTTTTAACAGTTGAAGTGATATGGGCCTTGACATTTCTAATGTACAAATATTAGCTTGTGATTGCTTAATACATTCATATGATGTCTGTCTATTTTAGTGGAGTGAAATACCTTTATTTGGTAATTTCTCCACTGAAAGGTTGTTGAAACGTGAGTCACTTTCAAATATTCAACAGTTAGAGCACAGTTTAACAAAAAAAACACTGAGAGAAAGGGCTGAACTTTGCCACAGAGTTGGATGCAGGGTGGAGAGTGTGGTGGGAGGTGGAGGGGCAAATGGTGGAGAAATGTTGGGATGATCCTGTGATGCAGTCCTGTCTCTTGGGGACTTTCCTGGTACTGGACAAGGAATCAGGTTGGTTTCCCAGCCCATGGAGGTGTGGCAGCCAACTGGTCAAATAAAAGCTCTATTTTAGTGAATATTTTGTAACAGCCATTTCTATTAGAATGACCCCTGACCACCCCATCAACTACCATGTGACCCCCACAGGCCATGTAGGCATCAAAGCAGCAGATTCCATTTCCCATGGGCTGTGGGGATAAAAAGGCTACAAGTACAGTCATCACTACTCCAGCAAAGGATTTTTAAAATTCTTTCATAGGACATGTGGACATCGCCACTAGACCAGCATTTATTGTCCATCCCTAATTTCCTTGTGAAAATGGTGGTAAACTGTCTTTTGAAACTGCTCCAGTCTTCATGGCATAGGCATACCAACAATGCTACTGGGAAGAGAGTTTCCAGGATTTTGATCTAGTATCAGTGAAGAGATGCTAATCCCTGATGGCCCCATAACCTGCAGGCCTCTTTATTTGACTCTGTGAGGAACTGACACAATTTCATGATTGTCTGCCTATGCCATGCCATTGGATCTGATTCTGACATTGCTGTGTTTATTACCTGCATATGTACCTGATGAAGGGGCCTTGACATCTACCACAATATCTAAGCCGATAATTACTTATAATATAATATGTCAGCCAGTCTTTAATGCCATATCCTCCTGGCTGCAAGTCATAAAAATTTCAACAGTTTGGTTTGATCATTGATAAACAGTTCTCACAGTTTGGAGAAAATCTTGTGAAATTAATCCCTGCCCAATCAGTGGGACAAGTTGGCGTCAGAATTCTGATTCATTATTTTGTGTGCAGGGAAAAGTAATTATATCCATCCTCTAGGTTCTCAGGCTGATCTGGGAAGATAAGTGGCTAATGGAGCTAACCAAATCATGGAGGATCTTTATTCAAGGGGATTCTAGCAGGCCTTACAGTGACAGCAAGCTTTTTCTTGTAAGCATTCACATGATGCGGTGGGTGTGCGGAAGGTCACTAGATGGGCAAGCATTTATTGCCCATCTTTAATTGCCCTTAGGTTGATGGTGATCTGCCTTCTTGAACCACTCTACTTGAACTACTTAATGGAGGGACACCCATTGTTCTGTTGGAGAGGGAATTCCAGGATTTTGCCTCAGAGACACCAAAGAAATGACAATATAGTTCCAAGTCAAGATGGTACATGGCTTGGAATGAAATTGTAAGTGATGGTGTTTGCATGTATCTGCTGCCCTTGTCCTACTAGGTTGTAGAGATTATGAGTTTCGAATGTGCTGTCTAAACAGCCTTAGTAAGTTGTTGCTGAGCATCTCCCTGATGCTGCTCTTGTGTGTCACTGATGAAGAGAGTGAATGTTGAAGGTGATAGATACAGTCCCAATCAAATAGACATGGTGGTGATCACCTTGTGCTTGTTGAAGCTGAACCGATCCAGACAAATGGAGAGTATTCCAACACACTTCAGTCTTGCGCCTTATGCATAGTGGACAGGCTTTGGTGGAGTCAGGAGGTGAGTTACTCGCTGTGGGATTCTTAGGCTCTGATCTGCTCATTTCTACGGTATAAGGTTGGTCTAGTTCAATTTCTTGTCAGTGGTAACCCCGAGATGCTGATAGAGGAGAGATTCAGTGACAACAATGCCATTAAATATCAAGAGGCATGGCTGGATTCACTCTTGTTTGAGATGGTCATTGAGTGGCACTTGTATAGAACAAACATTACTTATCACTTTTCAGTCCAAGCCTGGTTGTTGTCTGGATCTTGCTACCTATGGCCATGAGCTACTTTAATATTTGAGGATTTGTGAATGATATACAATCTAAAGATTTAAATAATGGAAGGAAGACATGGACCTTAATTCACAGACTGAATAGACTAATGCAATGAGGGAAATCTATTCCCTGTGGGTGTCAGAAGGAGGTTAGCCAGCCTCACCGAGCAAACATGGCTGAAAAAGTCACAGAGACTGTTAGCAGCTAAAAAAAATGGTACCTAGGACCTGGACCAAGCACTGGAGAGGATTTACTGTCCACGACACTGAGTGTCCTGTAATTGTCAGCAGGCAGTCATCACTCTCAACTTTCAAAAACAGAAGGTGCTAGAAAAGCTCAGCAGGCCCAGCAGCATCTGTGAAGAAGAAAACAGCAGAGTTAACATTTAGGGTCCAGTTACACTTCCTTGGAACTGTTCTGAGTTCCTCTAAGTTCTGAGGAAGGGTCACCAGACCTGAAACCTTATCTCTGATATTTTGCTTCACAGATGCTGCAAGCCCTGCTGAGCTTTTCCAGCATCTTCTGCTTTTGTTACTGATTTACAGCATCCGCAGTTCTTTTGTTTTTTCACTCTCTCAACTTTGTTGCCTTCCCCCACACACAAAAAACCTTGCTGTCACATGCTTTCCTTTCTCTCCAACTTCCTCCTTAGATCTCCAGTTCAACAGACAATGTTCACGTTCACCCCCTGACCCTTTTATATCCATGGCTCACAGTCATCCTCCTCAAATGTTCACCCACCCCTCATCTATCTGAATCCTAACTCTGCCTTTTGTCACTGAAGGACCCACAACTACAAGAATAGGTGTTGGGACTCTGATAGAGAAGAATATTTATAAACTGCCAGAGTTACAAGCCACTACTGATGGAAGGATAGAGCTGGTCCAAATACCTGAACATTAGATATAACGTTGCCAGTTGCTCTCCTGGTGAATTAATGCACCCAATGCATGAAGTGCCATGTTCTGCCCTGCGCTAACTTAGAGCCCAATGTCACATACAGTCAACAGTAATGCACATTGTTCACCTCTCAGCTACATTGCTAGATCTGAGAAACAAGGTGAGATATGAACCTGAGGAATCCTCAGATGAAGACTAACTCTCTGAAGTTGCATTGTTATATGATTCCTACACGTTCTCCATGAGTTCAGAGATACACAGCAATTCCAGTCTCTGAGAGAGACACAGTGAGCAGCACACTCTACGTAAACAGAAGCCTGCCCTGGAGACGAGGACACCAATTAAGAGAGCAGTTAGAGGGTGTAGGACTCTTTAAGCTCTGCTCAACTGGACATAAAGGGTGAACCTCAGGTGCTCACGCAGCAGCTACAGGAAATGTATTAGTCTCTATGTGAATGCCCAGAGACAGTGTGCACCCTTTCAGAGAATGGAGCAGTCCACGTGGAACATGACAGCTTTATTATCTCAGGCATCTACAGTTATGACTGCGTCCATTGATAGAGTGGCCAACCTGAGGGAGGACCAGCTGCAGCAGATCACTTAGTGTACGCACACCCTCACCAACGGCATGCACTCTCTGGCTGCTATTTTGCACAATGTCAACCAAATTGTGGCAGCAGAATGCCAACTGGCAGCTAATGCATTCATGGAAAGCAGGGATATGTAGGTGGACAATGAGGACGATAAAGAAAGTGTTGATGACAGTGGGGGCTCTTCTCACTTTTCCTTCTGTTTCTTCCACCTCCTTGTGATTCCAACAGACCTGTGCACACTGCTTGCTGTGTGGATGACCAAATGCCCCTCTGAAGCTCAGGTACACAGTCCTTGTTAGAGCCTTCATGGACTCCAAATCTAAAAGGATGCTTCCCAGGGGCATCTCTTGCCCTGGAAATGAGCAACTTGCCCTGTGCTCTGGTAAAGCCACTGGTAGAACCAATAGAATGTTTATAAGGACAACACCTTAATTGTGTAAAAGGATTCACTTGAGTCCTAATTACATTGCAAATGTTCTTTTGATACTATTCATTTGAATGAAAGAATAAGCCAATGCGAACTACACCCTGTTGGATTTCCCTATTATCCCTGGTCAGTTTTATTCTGAAGATTAGAATGAGCAGCTTTAATGAGGGAGGTGGGGCTGTGAATGTGGTGCTTGCCCGAAATTGTTAAAGGGGAGGAGGTTTGGTGGTGGAGGATTAGGGGTAGCGGTGGTCATGTATATGGAGGTACAGCTTGCACAGGAGTTTTGTTGGAAAGCCTACTAAGCTTCACTTTTCAAGTAAAGGGTGCCAAGATAAAGCCACCCTGATTTTCTCCAGCAGGCAGGTCTGTGACTGCTGGCACCAGAAGCATGTTGGGATGCCCCTCCTCCCCTTTCCCCTCGCATCACACAAGTAGGCATCTCCTGGTTCCCAAGATCCAACTGCTGAAGACACTCTGGTGGAAAGAGCACCTGTGATATTTGAAACCACTAAAGGACATAGCAGCTTCCTGGATACCTTGCATTGTGCTCATGCAATGCTCACAGAGCAACTCCACCTTAAACTAGTGAAAACCCTCTTACATAACAAAAATCACAGGCTTAATATAGTGATGTCTTCATTGCCAAATGAGGGCAGAAATCTTTGGCAAGCATGGTAAAGAAATCGTTTGGTACATTGCCTTCATTGATCAGGGCATTGAGTTTAGGAGTTGGGACATCATGTTGCGGCTGTACCGGACATTGGTTAGGCCACTCTTGGAGGATTGCGTACAGTTCTGGTCATCCTTCCATAGGAAGGGTATTATTCAATTGAAAAGGGTTCAGAATAGATTTACATGGATGTTGCTGAGACTGGAATGTTTGAATTAAAAGGAGAGGCTGGAAAGTTTGGGACTTTTTTTTCCCCAGGGAACGTAAGAAATTGAGAGGTGACCTTTATAGAAGTTTATAAAATCATGAGGGGCACAGATAAGGTGAATTGCAAATGTCTTTTCCCTCTGCTAGGGGAATTCAAATCTAGAGGGCATAGACTCAAGGTGACAGGGGAAAGATTTAAAAA